CAGTTCACCACTCTAGGCTGCACACAGCTAAGCAACTCAAGGAAGAAAATTCCATCCGACAAACTCTTATCCTGTAAGATTGATATAGTAACATATGATCAGGGATGACAGTAAGCACAGATTGATGCACAGTCAAAAAGAAGTTCTTGCTAATGTTTCAAAATTTCAGGCATGAGATTCATGCATGGATGTCACAGCCTATTTGGAAACTTCAATCGTTCACCTAATTCACGAAACATCTAAGCAAATAACACGACAGATTATGGACCTATGGCTAGAGTGTACATCTGCAATTCGAAGGAATGATTGCATAACTTATGTCAGGACTACAAAATCTTTGCATTACTCCTTTTTTCACCATCAGGTATAAAATTACTACACCAAACACATAGTGCCATGGGAATGACGTTTGAAAAGCACCACTGCTATCTTTATAAACTACAGAAATGGTACCTTAAAACTTTTCATGCAGCTCTGGCTTCCCGTGCTGCTGACTTTGGTGTTGGCCCATTCTAGAATATCAGCATCAGCAATTTCCTTCCCATGGGAATGAAATCTCAAGTTCTTTAGTAGTTGGAGGATGTTGTACCGCATCAATTGCCACAAATAAGCTGAAGACAAAACCGACACTCTTTGGTTCAGACAGTTTCTTTGAATGATTATATAAGCATAAAGTCATACCACGAGTCTGATGTATTTGGAAGAATCCTGTAAGATACAGAATTAACATAAATGTGCCAGTGCCCGTACCAAGTATTAACTTTTTATTCCCCTGAACGATGTCATTTCCAGCAATATTTACCAAAGAAAACTTCAGTTGCTTTCCAATTTTTACAACTTGGTTGCAGTTTTCTACTTTCTTGAATGGCATTTTAATTGGAGGCTTGTTTGCAATCTTCCAATTTACAATGCCGGGTGAAATCTTGTCCAGTGACTCCAGAAGCGCCCACCTGCAGAGGATCAATTTCACTTCAGCTCCAGATGAAACAAAAGATCAAGCAGTTTGAATAGTTAGCATAGTCTAACTCTGGAAGTGCTTGAATTTAGTTCATGATCTCTACTACAAAATTAAAAAAAATCTACCTTTAGGACAATCTTTTCGATATTTTTTATATTTTGAAATTTGGAAGTTTGGTTTTATTTGAACCATGAACCTGATGCGAACTTAGTATGCCACCAGATGCAACACTATAATAAGTTGATGAGAGCATAAATAATTTATGTTCAGGAGGATAGACACACTATAATATTAAATCATCATAAGAGTTCAAAATCAAATTTTACCCGTTTCTGAGGTCTTCAAAGACGTTATTGATATATGAAGAATTCCCGAGACTATTCATCCAAAAGCGAAATGCTCTCTCTTCTCTGGAGATTTGGGTGTCATCTTCCAAATTGTCAAGGAATGATGTCTGCTTTGTTTGTGTTGAGAGTCCATTTCTACAGGTGAAATGAGTAGTTTAGACATTATTGATGTATGATGAATTTCCGAGACTATTCTAAAAGGAATGCATTGCTCAAGTAGATATAGTTCTCACCTATGCTGGAAAATATGTGCAACAAAGGCAAGGTTAAGATTCGGGGATCCTTCAACAATATCTTTTGCGGTCAAATATCTCTTGCAGCCCATCCTATCTGCATGTTCAAGAACTAACTTTGCTCTTTCCATAGGATTCTTTGCATCCAATGCAGATGGTTTACTGTGCTCCGGTGCTAGAACATTTAGGAGGTGAGCATAAGCCTCTGCATCCTGCAAGACAAACATCTCATACCCTCAAACACTATTAATATCCTTGTAATGTATGTTGAATCTATTTATCAGTTATTGCTGTTGCAACCCATTGAATAGAATCACTGGCTAAACCTTTCCTATTTGATTCTAAACAACAGGAGTGCATGACATATCCCAAACCTCGACAAGTTATTAACTTATTCTCATACCTTCACATCAGAGGAGAAGTTTGTGACTATCTTCTGATATCCAGCTTTCTTCAATTGGAAATTCATCCATCTCAGTAATATCTTTTCCGGTGGTAGACTCATCAACTCTTCCACATCCTGTAGGTTTTGGACATTAGAATTTAGAACACATTAGAAAAACTGTTGGTTGATAGCCTCACCACTAATTGTCGTAAGAATCAAAATTTTATGAATTAGGACATTCTTACGTTGCTATCGTCAACCAACTCCACCAATTGAGGTGTTTTCTTCAAGTTGAGGTCTGCCAAGAGTTGTATCTATATAGCATAAAAAGTAGTATAGAACTCTTAGAAAGATAAATTTGCAGCTTGCATTGCATTTCATATCAACTTTATATGCAGATATCTACAAGGATATCATAAGAAGCCTATAATTTGGATATGGCCCACCATATATTACAAAATCAAACTTCATGCTTTTGAAGTTATACAACTCTGAAAATCTTACCTTGATTATCTGAGAAATCACTCCAAGAACAAGATGACGCTGAAATCCAAACAACAGAGCCAATATTGGTAAGTATCCATGTCCGATTTATACATTCAAACACTCTACTCAGTGAAGCAGTAGAAACACAAGTGCACATTACACGAAGGACATGAAATGGCATGTATGCATACCCTTCCTTCAATGAAATCCTGAGTCCCAATATTGACCACAGTACATCCAACAGCCTTAGCAGAGTTGAGGCACAAGGTGTGATTTTCATTTCTCTCCCATGGATTAAGTACTCGTTTAGTATTGATAGCTCGTTCATCGATTGTTCCAGGCACCGCCACATTGATCAGCTTACTGCATCCAGAGAAACACATCCATAAAAATCCAATCAACAATCCCACACAATCCAATCAAGTAACTCAACAACAAGATACCAAAAGGGGTAGTATTGAATAACAATCAATCACCATAAAAGTACTCCATCTTTTACGATCTCGAATAAATCATTGGTTGATGGATCAATAGGGAGATATGTCTTAAGGAAATCATCCTGTCCAAGGTAGTTATTGATATGAGCTACATAGGATGCCTTCTCGGATTCGCTGATCGTGTGAAGCAAAGTGGTGGTAGCAGCCTTGAGAAAGGCAGATGAAGAGTTGTTCTTTCCACCACTTCCTGTGGTTGCAGTGGCATGAGCTTGGAGTTGCAAATAAACCTGCAACATATAAATCATTTTCTTCAACTACAGATAAATAAAGAACAAACACAGCTTCGGCATTTACTTATTCGACTGACTGCTCAATTGGGTTTGAAGTAAAATTGTTAAAAAAAACAGACCCTGAGGAAGAATTCGAAATCGACATCTTCATCGAGGTTGGGATGCAAATCTTGAATGAAAGAGCCCTGTCTTGGTCAGTAAAATTATCTGATCCCACGACCTTGAGCCTTGACATCTTGGCAGGCAAGTCTCCAACTGTGAGCTTTCCACTCTCTCTCTTCATGCTCATAAACTTCATCACAACAAAATCACACATTTTTCAGCCAAAAAAGTGCTAAAAATTAAATCAAAAACATAAAGTGCTGAACAACATACATGGGATTTCAAGCTCCGGAGCTCCACTTGGGTGAACTGATTCTGCAGCCATGGATCTGAGACTAGAATGCCGACGTACCCCGACATTTTCGGAGCTGCCCGGAAGAAGAAAATGCAGGATTGAGCTGAAGATTTTGCTGAAAGTTGATCTCTTTCAGTATTTCTCTTGGTTATTATCCCCCACCAAACAAACCCAACTTTTTATTTTTATTTAATTACTTAAGTTTGAAACTTTAGAGCAGGAGGATTAGTACAAGACTTGTCACAGTTGGGGTCGGGGTAGAGCTGTCACACTTCAAAGTTTGGTCATTTGAATGAAGATGCACAATTCAAATAATGACCATCATGTCCTACTCCAACCCCCCTCTCTCACTTTCAAATCTCAATCAGTCAAGCTGGTTCCCTTTTTTCTCTCTCTAAAATGAGTAACTACGGGGGAAAGGAGATAGACCCCACAAACAATGTCGTTGGAGAATTCAAAATATAACTACTACGTCTTTATTTTCCGATTAAGTTTTCAGCGTAAAGTTACACCGTTGTGTAATATTTTTACCATGCTTATTTTTAACATGTGTATTTATTTATTAATATAACGTAATCGTGACAGTTTGTATCCATCGCTCTCATTCTACTGTTGTGCTTTCAAGTTTCAACTAAACTTAGACCGTTACAATTTCAAGATTTGAACTTTAATTAATAAACAATTAGAGCAACATGAAGGATTAAACAATGGAATTTGCTAAGCTCAGTTGGGCATAAAATTAATTATATTCCTAATGGATAAGTAGGGAATGGTAAATGTCCAAAATTGGTAAAGCACTCAGGTCAGTTAGGCATTGAATTGAATACATTATTTCACTAAAAAGTGGTCGGTCATTTGAAAAAAAGAAGGCATTTGGGCACCTGCAAGTGCGTGGTAAGGACCACCGGATAAAAAGACCGTTTGCCTTTCCTGAAAAGCAGAGTTTGATTGGCAACAGATGTTTTTGACGTTTCCTAAATTCCCAGGCTTCCATGGAGGTTATAACGAGTTCAACGACCAAATAGTGCACTTGTGACTTGTATTGAAAGAATATGTTATTGATAATATATCGATAAAATTAATTGAAACGGTATTTTTGAACTGTTATCATATTAAAGTTTGATTTGTTAAATCTAAAGTTTTGACATTTTGGTATTTGACTTTGATTTAATGTTCATTTTAATAATTCTTTTGTCATTTCTATTTGAATTTCACACGTATCATCTTTTAAAATGAGATTGTGTCGCCTTAAAAAAGCAGACTGTTTACTTCAAATATCAAATGTCACGTTTTTAATTTAGGAGCCAAAGTTCATTTAGTCGTGGTTTTGTGACTACTGCTCCGATTTACTGTGTATCAATATGTAGTTGACAATGTTTCAATGTCGTTATATCTAACAAAATATACAGATATGCTATCGACAATATTATGATGTGTCATGTGTCCTCTAATAAAAAAATAGACGTCATTAAATTACCTTAGTAACTAGTATTTATCTTCTCCTTTCCATTCCTCCCAGTGTCATCGACATACAGCATCATATCATCCCCACAGACCATTTTCATATTTGGCTTGTCATTAATAATCATTAAGCAGTTCAATTATCATCATATAACAAATCAGTCCATCTAAACTCTATAATTTCTTGCAGAGAACATAAACTAAAGTATCATCCGATTCATGGGTCGTAAGAACTTCCATATTTTTACATAATTGTGAGGCACCAATCTGCAAAAAGGACGTGCAGGCGGGCAATGCTGCCTTCATGACTCCATCCATGGCATTATCTAATAAACAAGCTAGTCCCATGAACATAAACAAATAGATCTTGCACACAAGAGAGCATGGGAGGGACAACAATGGTAGGCCATACCAATGTGGATTAAGGAAGCTTTATACACAGTTCAGTTGCTTTACAGAAAAGGCAAATAGAAAGAGAAAAAAAAAAAAGGCATGGGAAAAAAGATTTATAAATAATTAGGGGAATGTGTGTACCGAACCTTGCTGTGTTTCCTTCTACTCTCAAGGCATATGAATCATTACCGAGGTCCATCGACGTGTGCTGATGCAAGTATATAAAAATCCATATTTGTGGGACATTCCCACACATGGTGTTGCACTGGTGTTCATTGGACACTGTTGAATCTTCATCATCAGTTAGGCTGATTCTTCTGGGTGCTTTCCTTTAAACAAAGTATGATTCGAGTCACGCTTGTGTCTGATTCCCGCTATTATTGGACAACAGATAAAATAGACTAAACAAGTTAGATGAATTTTGCCTTGAACAGTTTACAATCTTTGTCACAGGCGTAGATTACAAAGCACTCGGCAAGGTTATTGCTAGACCCAAGCTAAAATTATCTGTTCCAACAGTACATAATCAGCACAAAAAATAGGGATGGTGCACCTATAGTAAAATGTTCAAAATGCTATTTCCCGAAGAACTTCAAGAGTCTTCTAATGAACCTGTATTTCCCGAAGAACTTCAAGAGTCTTTTTCAAAACAAAAACTAGATCAAAAGCTTAAATAAAATTGAAGAGAAAATAACATTTCCCATTCTAATGTTGTGCTGTGAAACCAGAGAACTCGACCTTATGGGTCATTCAACATCCTGAGGTCCACAGGGCTTGAAATAAATGTGTTGCAACTTACACTATAAATCGGTGAATCAAGCAACTCTTACCTTGAAGACAGTCTCAAGAAACATGCCAGGGCACACAGGAAGTGGTTTTCGCCTCACACGCTTTCCTGGAAACGATGATGCAATACAAATAACAGAAACTCTGTTATAGCCATTTCTGTGCAACGAGGAAGGGGAAAAGACTCGAGCAAATAAACTATGGCTGCCCTCAGTCGAGTGGCATCTTCGTCATCACTGCTAGAGTGGTCAGCACTTTCATTTTTTCTTGCCATTACATTTTTTATCATCGCCTGGACAGTCTTCCCCAGATTCAAGCCACCAGTTTGGTTAAGAAGTTCACCAGCACTGACCGGGATTTTATCTAAGAACACAATTTTTCCAAAGTATGGTAAATAATAGTTGATATATTTCATAAACCAAAATGGGTATCCTGTAGTCTTAAATGCAGATACAGACCTCAGATTCTGGAAGGGTGTTAAAATCCACGATCATTTCTCTTGTCTAGTATCCATCTCTCATAATATTCCGAGCTTCCTCTCTGACCAAACAAGTCTTGCAAGCAGTTTTCGATCTGGAACTACAGGCCGAGTTTCCATTGTCTTCCAAACATGAAAATAAGCTTTTATATTAGCTTCAATTATTACTAAATGACAGGAAGTACAAATTCAAACTTCATGAAAATAATAATGCATAAAAGCATGAAAAGACCACGGTCAGCGCCACTGAATATCATTATGTATACAAGGACTATAGTTTTGTAAGTTAAAAATACTATTTCCTCGTTTTAACGTTTTAGGAGTTCCAACAATCCCAAGTAAACCAAATGACAGAACACAGCCCCAAAGAGGGGGAAATCTGCTGATTATATTTTTTACGAAGTGACGTAAAATTTCATTAAAACAATAGTATTAGAAGAACTGGCATCAAGTTCTGAGGGTGAAATCTCAGTGACGGTATTAAACACAGCCTGCTTACAAACTCTATGATATAAAACACAACCTCCTCTATCCCGCCCTCTTCCCCACAAAAATAAAATGCATCATTGAACATTCTTAGCACATGATATTACAGAACCAACAAAAAGGGAACCAGAAAACATGCATCATCAGATGAAGGTACACATACAAACAAATTTAGGAACAAGAATATTGTGCAAAAAACCATATAAAGGTGATGCGAAAAATGTACAGAAACGATCGAATGTGGTGTTATTTAAAACTTGATACAATTTAAAGGTCAGTGTGTGCTCATCGCTCAATCATATCAGATCAATCGAAGTTCCATGAGGGTAGTCCAGATCCATATTAAAGTTAGGGTATGTGTAAACCTGAAATGTAAGTGGGAACCTTATCATCTTGGTCACTGTCAACGAGTTGCATCATGTAATCTAGAGCCATCATGAAACCGGCCTCCATCTCATTGACTCTCTTCCTTAGGACCCCTTGTGCAGCTATTTCCACTGCCACCTCTTCAGATGCATCATCCATGTTCATATCCTCCAGCTGTACACGTACAAAAATCAGTAATTTGAACACTGAGTCAGTTCACGATGTCGAAACCACGAGCACAAAGTTATATAAGCATACTAATCCAATCACGAAAGATAAAAGCACGGACTTTCGCTGCCATTGTCATAAATGGTGTAGAAAGTTTAGTTAATTTAAGTGAACTTCCTGCTTTTACCGTTCGTGGAGATGTGACTTATGTCAAGATTAGTGAAGATATTTATCGAGGTCAACTACGCTGATTCCGAACAAAGACTTGAGTCTTTCAAGAGTGTTTTGGATCTTTATGGAAGCTTCACAACCCTTGGTGACTGGTACCACTAGGCAAGGATATTTTGGTCTGCACATTTTCACCAAGAAGACATGAGAAGAATGTGGAGTCGTGGAACATGTACACTTCAATTTGGTATTTTTAGGTTGTCTCGATGCAACCATATTTCCATCCCGATGACATCCTTCCCCAAACGTATGCACATGTCTAGATCAAAATATATGAGTTAAAAATATGGAGTTTTAACGAAACATTTTCGGTACTGTTTACTTTTAACGAAAATGAGGACAATGAGGACTTCGGCTATGGTATAACACCTGTCCAAAGAGAAGAACTCTAAACTCATATCACAACGTAAAAAGATGAACATCTACTTACATTGTCTAATACCACAAAATTCAAGACACATCTATGACCTGACTTTCCACACTTATGTTTGCTATAGGTTTTGTAGCCTTGATAATAGGGGCCAACATCGTCTCATATACTGCTTGAAAATCGCTGCAGTTTTAACCAAATGCACGATTAACATACCCCAAGATAAATTTTTTGGCCTTAAATTGAACTATTATTGAAGCTTATATTCTACAGGACATTCAACTTAAACTTTTACTGCAAGTAAGATCAGCAAATTATCATTTTTTTTTTCAATTAGAGAACAACAAATTACCATTTATACAACCAAATTATGTTAAAACATATGAAGAATTCCATACCAATCATAAACCCGATTGCAAGGTTTGGCATTAAGCAGATTTTGGCCATCTCCAACCGAAAGGTTCAGAGGGCCAGAGGGCCGAAAATAGTCCAAAAACGGTTTCCAACCGAGAGTCAAGCCAAATGGCTCGTGGGCTCCACTAGACAAAAAAGGGCCATAGGGCCAATCAGTCGGCCCGGGGCCGAGCTCCAATTCAAATTTGTAACGGCTAGTTGCTGACGTCACTTAGCCATTATTTTTTATTTATTTTACAAAATTTGTTTTAAACCTTGTAAATTATTTTTTTTTCCTATAACTTCTAAACCATTAAACATTAAATAACATGAATTGAAATAGATTGAATTCAAAGTTGTGTGAATTATAGCCCAATATCCACCCTATTTATAGCCCAAAAAAATTTAAATTCAACGGCTAGCTAACATCACTTAGCTGTTGGATTTGAATTTAAGTTGTAGTTTTTAAATAATAAATTATATTTGACTTTATGACCATTTGACCCTCGGTTGGAGACAGTTTTTTGTGACAAGGCTAAAACGAGCCCTATGAGCCTTTGACTCTGTTGGAGATGGTAAGAAATATGATCATGTACTGTTCATTAAAATATTAATTTTTTGGAGGACCATAGGGTTAAAACGAGCCATCTGGCCAGCATTCGGTTGGAGATGGCCTAAACAAAAGAACAATTTTCCAATCCCCCACAGGCATAAACTTTCTCCATGAACCAAACCTTCCTCCTTCCCACCATTCGCAAACACTTTAATAGATCTCTTTGCCGCACTCAACACCGACTCCTCCTCCTCAACCCTGCCGACAATCCAACTGCGCCTATACTTTTCCACCAGCACTCTCACCCAACGCAAATGTTAATGAACTCACTTCCGTTGAGGATAGATCATCGCTTTGTATCATGTATCATGGGCAGAGTGACAATTTTTGTTCATTATCGGCTAAGAAAATGAGACTATATAAAATAAAACCAAGTATACGTTCAAGAAATAAGTTATAGGCTAAATGTTTTTCAAAAGATAAAAGCTTATTTCATAAATTTATGTAGCCCGTCGTTAAGTTTAGCAAATGAACACCGACTCAAAACCGGTTAATATATTACTATGGCAACAATTACTAGAGCGTGAATCATTCAATCGAAGTTGTTCTAAAAGACCATTTACATTTCAATTTTGCATCTTTCAATTGAAGATGTTGTAAAAACACCATAACATAGGTGGAACAATTTGAAATCATAGGCATCCAATTGGTACAAGTGGAATTGAAGGAAGGGCGGGTAACAGTCCATAACTACACTGATACACGTGTGTAACTATTCATTGGTATCAAATTATAGTATTATACTGACTCATGCATCATCATTTCCTGGAAAGCGTTTCAGGATGAAAACCACTTCCTTTGCGCCCCTGTATGTTTCTTGAGACTGTCTCCAAGGTAAGAGTATTTTGGTAAAATATATTTTCATTTCACACAAATAATGTTACAGCTTAGGTGTATATATATACAACAAAATATCAGATTATCTTAACCACTAAGATAACAACTAAGAAGGTATAGTTACAATGTTACCTTTTATATCCCCCCTCAAACTGAACTTAGGTAGTCTAAGTTGAAGTTTGTCATGAAGAAAGAGGAATTTGAGCTTGGACAAGGACTTCGTGCAAATATCAGCTACTTGGTCTTGAGTGCAGACAAACTGGACAGAGATCTGTTTAGCAAGTACTTTCTCCCGAATGTAATGATAGTCTATTTCTACATGCTTTGTCCGTCCGAGCATGAAAAATAGGATTTTTGGCGAGGGATATAGCTGAAATGTTGTCACACCAGAGTTGAGGCGTTGCAGGCAGGCAATAGCCAATATCCACCAGTAACTGACAAAGCCAAGTTATTTCAGAAGCGGTGTTAGCTAGAGATCTGTACTCTGCCTCTGTGGAAGATCGAGCAACAATTGGTTGCTTCTTTGTAATCCAGCTAATTAAGGAGTCTCTGAGATATACACAATAACCTCCAGTGGATCTTCTGTCAAGGGCACAACCAGTCCAATCAGCATCGGAGAATGTTGTGATAGTAGGCGGAGTTGAACACTTGGAGAACTAGAGACCAAGGTCAAGAGATCCCTTGAGATATCTGAGGATACGCTTAACAGCCTGAAAGTGTGAAACTCTGGGATTGTGCATGTGTTGACATACAAGATTAACTTGCTCCTTAGCAAAGAGATTCAATTAGCCACTCGCAAGAAAAGCATATCTGAGGCATTATCTTTTCAGGCGTTTTACACATCTGCAGGCAGCCTTCCCCTTCCTGCATCCAATCCTAACTCTCAGGCTTTTGTGGCTCAGTCTCCTTCTACCTTCAGTACTCAAAGTCGTGCAATGGATCGCCCTCATAATCGAAGTCATTTCAATCGTGGCAATTATAGATCCTCTAATAATCAAAGATTCTCTAACAATCGTGGTAATAATCAGCGTCATACTCGTGGAGGTTGCAACAATTTTTCATCTTACACCAAGAAAAATCCCTATTAGATTTGTCATCAGTTTGATCATGAAGCATATGATTGTCCTCATCGCATTAATCTGGTTTATGGTAAAAAATCATCTCCTGCAGCAATGGTTGCTACTACTTCTTCATCCAATCCTACTTGGATTGTCGATTCTAGAGCCACATCACATATGACCAACTCCTATGCCATTCTGCAGAATCCTGAAGCATACACAGGTCTAGAATAAGTGTACATTGGTGATGGCAAAGGTTTGCCCATCACTCACTCTGGTTCTGCTACTTTGAATACTTCTACTAGTGCTTTTACACTCAATAAAGTACTATGTGTGCCTGCCTTGAAACATAATCTTCTATATGCAAATCAATTTCTAATTGATAATCATTATTCATTGCTTCTTTATCCCTCTCACTTCACTATGAAGGATCTTTCTTTGGGGGGGATGCGTTTTAAAGGTCCTATTCAACAAGGGTTTTATCCTTTTCATTTTCACTTATCTGCAAATGGTCATCATAAGGCACTCACAGCTTTTGCAAAAGCTTATAAGGATGTCTAGCATCAAAGATTGGGTCACCCATCAGTCAAGATTCTCAATAAACTTGCTTCAAAATCTTGTATTCCTGTTTTAGGTCATATAAATACGTCATTCTGC